GACGGGGGAGGCGGGGCCTGCGCCTGGAAATCAGAGACAGTGACACCCCATGACACAGGGCGGAGGAGGAGGGCTCCCCAGTTCTTCCCCAGTCCCCACAGTGAGAGGGTGTTTACTCAGGCATGTCCATGATGCGGCTCACCCTCATCCCCTTCACGCTCATCTCAGCCAGTGGGCACGCTCCACACTGAATTCGCTCACACAAGCCGCTCCTAAGAGGAAGCCGTCCCCAGGCGTCTTTCCCAGCGGCCTGGCCTCGGGAACCAGGGGGACCCGCCCGCCCCTGCGGGGAGCACGCTGGGTGTGCATGGCCGTGCCGTGGGCACAGACTGTTCTCCCGACGGCTGGGCATTCCCGCCCGCCCTGTAACCACCGTGACGGGCACTGAGTCTGCAGCAGCCTGTTTGAGCGCAGACGTGCATGGACATCCCAGAAACCAAGGCCAGCGGGCGCCTGACCCTTCATGCCACGGTGGTGGGTGTCTCGGGCAGGAGCCGGTTCAGAGTCCCATTCTGCGCCTGGAACCACGGTCCTCCCCCTGATTCCTCGTTAGCCCGTGCCCCGAGCTGGCCCCCTCGCTCTCAAGTTCCCTCCGCTCCTGCCTCGGTCAGGACGGCCACTCTGCCCTCCTCCCAGCCCCGGAACTCCTGGCGCTGGACCCGGTCTCGGGCCTGCACACCGGCGGCTCCTTCTGTGGGAGTGATGACCCCACAGGCCGTCACAGGTGCCCCCTCTCCGCAGTCCTCCACTCCGAACACCCTCCTGGGAGCCTCCCTGGGACCTGCCCACTGCCTGCCCTCGTCTCCCTCGGGCCGCCTTCCCCTAAGTGCGTGATGGGACGGTCACACGCCACGTGGAGTGCAGCACAGTGCGGGACTTCCGAGCGGCAGAATGCGCCTGGGACACAGCAGGCGGCCTGCCGGTTCTGGAATGAAGGCTGTGGTGTGGTAACAGGGTCAGAACAGCTGGGTCCCTATTAGGAGGCTTAGTGGCACCTCCTGCTAAATGCTAACCCTTGAGCCACAGGAGACACAGGAGACACGCAGGCTGGCCCGGAGGCTCTCAGCCCGGCACCTGGACGTGTGCGTGCGTTTGCAGCACCAGCCGAGCTCGGGGCAGGCTCGGCCCACGCGCTCGGCACACACTCGTGTCCACTGCGTGCGCGTATGCAGGTCGCGGGCTCTTATTTGCAAAAGAATAAAGACAGGCTGAGTAAGCAGGGCTGTCCCCGCCTCGTGTACTGCTCCCATAATCAACTGGTGGCCCAATTATGGTAGGAAACAAATTTGCATAAGTCATGTGTATTTTTCCTTTACAAGGCTTGGAAAATACAGAAAAATAATTTTAAAATGTGTAAGTTTCGCCATAACTGGTTTGGCTCAGTGGATAGAGCGTCGAACAGCGGGCTGAAGGGTCCCGGGTTCGATTCTGGTCAAGGGCATGTACCTTGGTTTCGGGCACATCCCCAGTGGGGGGTGTGCAGGAGGCGGCTGACCGATGTTTCTCTCTCATCGATGTTTCTAACTCTCTATCCCTCTCCCTTCCTCTCTGTAAAAAATCAATACAATGTATATTTTTTTAAAAAGTGTAAGTTTCGTAAGTTATTGCATTCTCCCCTGCCTCCCCTCCCCTTTGCACACAGGTAAGCTTAGAGAACAGAGAAAAACAAGATATTCTCAGAGGAAATTTAAAATCACCTACAGCCCAGGACCATTACGGCACACTGCCTTGCATCTTTAATGCCGTGTTTTATTTGGAAGCCTGTGGTTTTTCTGGCTGTGTGAGTAATTGTAAAACAGAGAAAAGCTGGAGGACAAAAGGAAGTCAACATCCCACATCCTCCCCACAAACACACAACATCGCCGGAGAGAGACCTTCCGGAGGCAGCTGGCTCCTGCTGGGCTGGCGGACCAGTAACTCCCGGAGGCTCTCACGGAGGCGGTGCCCGCACAGTGGCCTCCACACGCGTTGGGACGGCGGCAGGTCCCAGAGCACGAGGCACAAATGTCACCTCCCAACTGCAAACACGCACGGAAAGCCTGCGCGGGCCCAAGGCGAAGGCAGTGTTCACTGGTCCGAGCGATTTGCTTCATACTCCCGGGTCATTTACCGTAAGAGCCTCTTTTTCTCATTCTCACTTCAAATTTGTCTCAACTTCCTGTGTCATATATGGTGATAAGTGACCTTAACTCTGTCCTTGCAACCAGGGTTTAAACAAGCGGACTGCTTACAGAGAGCAGAGAGAACTTTTTTAAGAAGTAGAGAAATATCCTGAAAGAGAGAGAACTGCTGTTTCTAAGACTTCACTTCCTCTCTACTTGAGAATGTGACATTGTATCCGTCAGGGTGAGCACAGAACACAAGCAATGATGGAGGAAAGCGCAGTGCTCCGTGGAGCCCCATCCGCTCCACGCTTGCTCGAGGCCGCTGTGCAAACACATGCTCGGCCAAGGCAGCCTCCCCACAGGTGGGGACGGGAAGGGAAGGGAACTACTAGACATCCCCTGGGCAGACCAGACCGTGCCCCGCGGCGGGAAAGGGCTGCGGGGTGGAGAGCGCACCCCCTGGCCCCCGCCCAGCCTCGGGCTTCCTGCCAGCTCACCGGGAGGCCCCTAGTTCTGGGGTGGGAGCTTGCCTTCCTCCTGACACCTGCACTCACACAGGCCTGCTGCCCTGGGGCACCTCCAAGGACAATGAAAAAGGGGCTCTGTGAGGAGCGGTGGCCCTGGGCTGCCCATTAAAATACGCCTTGGTCCCCCGGAAACGCATTGGCCTTTGTAACGACAGCTGCTCCCTCCTACTTCTGCCCCTGCGAGCACAGGCCTTGTGGGCTGATCCCATTCTGTCGGTCGTCTTGTGCCCAGTAGCTGGTGCTTAACGAAGGCCGTACCCACGGGGCAGTCATCCTGCAAACCCACAGGGGACACGGGTGCATGAGCCCCTCTCGCCCCCGTGAGCACAGCTATGGCTGCTGCAGGTTCCCTTTGGCCTCCGGCTGATTTCGATCACGCATCCATCGTGACTTCCCATCAACTAAGCGAGTGCGTCCTGCACAGCACATACTGTTTCTGTCAGCGAACCAGGGAAAACAGAAAACACGCCGAGTGTGCGGCCGAGTGGCGAGCACAGGAGACACACTCCCAGGGCAGACTGACCAGGACCGAGCAGGGTGATGCCGGCTCACGTCTGGACTCACTCCCATGGGAAGTGGTGTAACAGAGACAGCCATCCCCTGGAACCAGGCTGACAACACCATGGAAGGAAACACGGATGAGCCCCTTTACCGTGGGACACGCTGCACCTGACGGCGGCCGCCCCCGGACACGCC